AAATATTAAGTGAAGTTGCCGGTTCAAAACAGTGTTTAACAGTTTGAACTATTTGCCCAACGACTTTCAACGTGTCGTGCTTTCGATAATAGGTAAGTTGCCTGTATCTGGACATTTCAATTTGAACCCATTTGTCTGAAGATTGCCAGTGGTGCAAAGTCCGGAATGTTCTCCAAGTACTAATTGGTTGAAAGTATTTAGACAGCCGCGTATTCATACTCGTCAGTATTTAGACAAATACTGTATGAACCAATCAGAATCGAGAAAAGACATAAATAATCCAAAATAAATAATAATTATTTATCAATTTCTTCTTTGTCTCGATTCTGATTGGTTGAAACAGTATTTGTCTAAATACTGGACAGTCTGAATACGCGGTTGTCTAAATACTGATATGTAACCTATTATGCTAAACTGTTTATACAGCGGGCAGTGGCTGGCGTTTACAAAATGAATTGAAGTTGATTCTCTTACGTTTTGTTAACATTAACTTATTATCAAGAAGTGCAAATTAAATATTCCCCTACGACGCACTCCATATCGGAATCGACTTACGGTGACGTCCCATTAGTACCAACGGTCATTTGTACCGAAATGAAAAATCAGTCCCTTTTGTACCAAAATTATTCAACTCGATTTCTGATTGGTCGAATTGTGAGTAAATGAATTATTACACTAATTTTCTGCTGTTCAAACAGAAGAAAACTAAACAGCAGAATAGTGAGCGCCGAGTAGAGGGTTGTCATTCATATCCAAAAAATTAAATGAGTTGAAGACGCTGTTCAAACTTTGGCCATTAGTACAGTTCCAAAAAAATTTCATATGGTATTTTACAGTGCGGCAGATGTTATCAGAAAAATGGTCGTATAATTAAGGTTGTAGCATCAGAGGGCTGGATAGGTAGGCCAGCGAAATAGGTTAAAACAATATTCTTCCAGCCTTGGAGATTGAAGTTAGACAAAAAGCATTTAACAAAGGAAGTCAACGAAGTGGATGAAGAACCTGAAACAGAGATACAATATTGACTAGTCCCAGAAAATTACAATAAGTTATCTCTAAGATATTTCAAAGAGTTATTTGAAAGAAAAAGTGTCACGAAGAATTGCAAATAACGAACAAATTTTCACAAATCGTTACGTTAGACTAAAGTAGAGGGATGAAAAAATCTCATCTATGTGCTGCCAAAAGTCGATGATACAACAAACAACATGTTAGAGGAGTATCATATCGTTAATTTAGTTAAAATTACAAATGATTGTTTTATCCTATCAATGGTAAAAACGGCAAAAAAGAGAGGAGTCAAATAAAATGGAAAAAATTCTGAACTGATTAACAAGAAATTAAACTGCAACAGATACCGAATGACGATTTGTCGAAAAAATAGCGTGGTATATGAGCGGGGATTTTATGAGTTTACACTTTGATCTAGGGTATGGGTATTAACCGCTGCCTCTTAGTGAAGCAATCTCTCGTGAGTGCAACTTCTGTATAAAGGAGGAAATATTACGTGAAGTTACCGGTTCAAAACAGTGTTTTACAGTTTGAACGATTTGCCTAACGACTTTCAACGTGTCGTGCTTTCGATAATAGGTAAGTTGCCTGTATCTGGACATTTCAATTGGAACCCATTTGTCTGAAGATTGCCAGTGGTGCAAAGTCCGGAATGTTCTCCAAGTACTAATTGGTTGAAAGTGGCCCTTTTTCCGAAAAAAATTATTTGATTGGAATTCACAAAATTGCATAAAATTACGGTAAAACATTGAAAATATAAGATCGCTAATCGTTTCTATTAACAAACTTATACGGTTCATACCTGAATTGACTAATACAAATGACCCACTCAGATACCTAATAAAACAGCATACAGGTTTTGACAAAAACACAAAGAAGCGTTCGAGACCATGAAGAATATTGCAAGTGAGTTCGCGCAAAATCAACGTTTTGACATGAAAAATTAAACACGAATTAACTGCGATGCGTCCAGAAGAGGCCTGTAGGCTGCCTTAGAACAATTACACAAATGAAAGGTGGAAACTGATTACATAATCGTCATGGGTTTTGAATGAGATTGAATTGTAAAACAGTATCAATGAGTTAGAACTTCTGTCAGTTGTGTTAGGCATAGATTTATTAGCAAAAATGTTTTTATGTGGCCCCATTCAAAACAATCATAGATCACAAGGCATTATCAGCATGTTTTTCTGAGGAAAAAAAACAGAAACGAAGTAAACGATATTAGTTTTGCTGGGTTTTCGCCTTTTGATTATGAAAACGATCAAATACTTAAAGAAAACATGGGATTGGTGTAATGCTTATCTCGGCGTCCAATAGGAAACAACGCAAAAGCTTCAGAACTTGATAGTAAACTTGTTGTTGCTCAAGTAAATGCAATTATTTGGTAAATAGCGCCGTCAATCAGCGAGGAAATTGGGTTGCAGAGTCTTCGAAATGACGTCATAAACAGCACAAAATATGAATGAAAATTACTTAACTGGAAAGAACGCACAACAAAGAAACTGGTCGAGGCATGTTTAAATTTCAGGCCATTGTTCAAAATTCAGTCCACGTTTAAGAAAAAGGCCATTCCAGCAATGCAATTATGGGGCGGCCATTAGCTGGGAATTTTCTCGAGAAGCATTTTCAAACAGCCAAATATCCAGCAGCGGTTTTCTGAGTCGGCGACAAAACAGGAGGTGAATCCACAAAACCGGTGAAACTCTTCCATTTTCTAGATCAGAGGATTAGAAAGTAGTGCCTTTAAGAAACTGCGATGGCTGAACTACATGACAGCCCTGCCATGCTCTCGGCAGCCTTTGATGCTTAAGAAAAGGAGGCAGATCGAACGAGCAAAAGGGAGTCAGACGATATATTGACAGAGGAGATATGAGTTGATAAACGAAGGTCGGAAGCTGAAAATATTTACCGTGGGTTACACTCCGAGATATCAAGGAGGAGTCAACGAGAACACCGCCGAAGTAGGGTTATCAAAAGGACGTAATCTATGTGGGGCATCACCGAGCAAAATCTCGAATTCGATTCAGTTACGGCACAAAACAAGACCGTTGAGAATTAAGCGACCTCCAAAGTTCCTGGGGATTAATTTTTTACCGGCGCATTTTCATTGAAAACAAGTCCGCTACACGTAGTGGCCATGAAAAAAAGCTCAGAGGAGAAAAAGAGCGAGTTGCTGGTGGGAGCACCTGGTGGTTCGTCAACACGGAAATTTAGCAGATCTCGAGGGGTGGCTAACATGGGAGAACGACACGCTAGAATAAAAAATAGGGTTAACTCAACGAAAACTTCGAGCCCGCAGAAGAAAATTGCAGAGGAATTTTATTTCGACAAGGATAAGTGACAGTTCTACACTGAGGAAATGATTACGTGCAGATCGATATCCAGGAACTGGAACAATTTGTGTCAGGGCGTTTCCTAGATGTATCAGACAAACTACGTAGAATCGTGAAACATAACAAAGGGATAGCGTCAATCACATGGGTCCAGGTAGTTTGCAGGCACTGCATAATGCGTTAACAGCTTGAGTACGGAACAGCCGGAAAAATCCGACAGTCAGTAAGTTAGCAGACGTTGCGCAAGCGAAGATACAAAGGACTCAAGAGGCGATCGAGTGGACTGGAAAAGAATACTTGATCAATTTCAGGCCAAGTCAGTAGTGTCAGCATCAATATTTCGTCGGAACCGGGTTGATAGAGCGATCAAGAAGAATAATGGTAGCAACATCACGATACAGTGAACGTCGACGGCTAACGACGAGCGGAAAGAGAAGCCGCCGGTTCATGTTGTGGAAGGGTCACCATCCACGGCATTGATGGTGACAAGCAAGACGGAGTCAACAAACAGCATTGAAAATTTCAGCGAGGCTTTTGCGACCGACGATCTGGACACAGGGGACGAGATGCCGGTTATTAGCAGGACTGAGGAAGATCAAAAGCAGATCAAAAGAAGATCAAAAGCAGATAAAAATTTTTATTTTTGGTGGGCAAAAAGAGGGAAAAAATGACAAAAGATGACCTACCTGCAGGTTCTCTAAGACTAAAATTACCTTTTTGCGCAGTATAACTCATTGATTTGTTTAGTAAGACTATTTGAAAAATGTAAAGGATCTTTGTAGTCGAGTATAATCTATTTTTTTTAAAAATTTTTTCTTTTTTTTTCTACGAAAAATCTTGTACCAGAATTAATTATCCGAATTGGTCAAGTGATACATCATATTAAAATCTTTCCAGTCGTGATCCGAACAACTTTTAGATTTCTCACTGTAGAAAAAAACCGTTCGAAATTTGAATTTTTGCCTAAATTCAAACTAAAAAGTTGGGCGTGCAGGGTTAAAATAGCTCATTTAAGCTTAACTTAAGCCGTAAACTAGCCGTAATTTACTTGAGTTGTGTTGATTTGGAATTACTTCGCGCCGTTTTGGGAATCAAAACTTCAAAATTTCAAAAAAACTCCTGCCAAAAATTGAATTTTCGAAAAATTATACAAATTATTTTTTTCAATGTTTTTTTTGAGTTTCTAGTCATTTTTCTCGAAAAACTGATTCCCAATTGGCCTATTTTACTATGAATGTAGAATATGTCTCAGTTTTGTTTTTATTGGAACTTTCTGTGCATCCTCATTATTATTTTCAAATCAATTGATGGGGCAATGTGGAGAAGAGTCATATCATGGATACTAACTAAGACACACACACATTTTAGTGCAGCTTTATCGAAAAACTTCAGAAGCACGCGCACTTTTTCGTCGCGTCGATAAAAAGAAACCAGTCAAAGCTTCTGGATTTTACGCCAATTGGCGTGGGCAAACTAAAAAACGCAGCCTCAAATAGTTTTTCCACTGAAAAGCTTTGCTTGTTGTCTCCCAAAGTATTAACTTCGATTTTCATTTTTTTTTTTTTTTTAATTTAGACCCACAATTTTTTTTGTTTCAGACGATGGCGCGTTACATAAATTTAGTTTACTCAATGCATTTTTGTCTATTAGTTTCAGTTAAATAAATGGCTCTGTATTTCACCAAAGGAGAAGTTGCGATAGTGACGGGTGCTAGTTCAGGCATAGGGGCAGGTGTGGCAGTACGTCTGGCACAGTTGGGGGTCGGAGGATTCTGTCTGACAGGGAGGAATTCTGAGGCGCTGAAAGAGACCCAGAAACAGTGCGTGAAACAGTCGGAAGGCAGAATCGAAACCGAAAATGTTGTTATTGTTGTCGGTTTGTACTTTTTTCAACGTGTTAGGAATGGTTATGGCCGGAAAAAAAATCTATGACTGAAGTTTTTTATTATACGAAATGAGTGTGATACATATCTGCCTAGGAGACATCACTGATGAGAATGTGTGCGCCTCTATCGTGAAAGAAACCACCGAAAAGTTTGGACGAATTGATATTCTGATTAATGAGTTAGGTTCGGGTTGGTTAACTCATAGAGTAATTTCGGATAGGGTACACCGTCTGCTCGTCACGCTATCTTATTTTCGGCCGGATAGATTCGTGCAACTTCTTAGTCTAATACCGATCCTAATCTTACTCTTATACTATCTAGTCTCAGGTTGTTTAACTAGTCTCTGCTAGGCTCAATAGATCTAGGGTATACTGGTTTATTGCGGCTGCTGAAGTGCTCGGGAGAGTCCAACTAATTTCTAAGTTAAATTCAAATCTCTCTGGTGCTGAAATTACAAGTAACTTCAGCACTTACAAATAAGTGGGTTGTTAGTTAGATGGATCATGATTGGTTAATATTAAATACTTTACATTGGTAAAATATCTAATTTATCCAATCATAAAATGTAGTTTAGATCAGGTTCCACCCATCCGGGTTTTACAGAGTTTTTTAGAATAGTTCTTCTGCAATTCGAAGGATGGATGATGGACGTTGGTGTTTGGCGAACATCTTATTTCTTCTGTTTCCTTTTTGTTAAAGAAGTTCCAGGAAGCTGGAGTTAGAGACATAAGACGTTGTGTCTTCTAGTGACAACGACTAAGTCTTTGCAACAAACTCAAATCTGATTTCAGAATGGTTTGCTATGTCAGGTTTTTCTGTTCTGCGTGGAGAACTTTTTTTGTGTCTGATTTAGTTTGGGGATGGCGTGGAGATTGTGCGTGGAGGGGATGCCTGGTTACTCGGATCTGTACGTATACTTGAACATCGAGGTGGTCATTGGTCTAGTTCAATGAAGTCCTTTTCTGCGAAGTCAAGTCGTACTCTAAATCCTTTGAGTTGTGATTGTGAGTGGCATATCGATTGTGGTTGGTCATTCTCTCTCGAGTGTAGTGGGGTCGTTCTGTCTTTAGATGTTCGTCCTTGGTGTTGTATTCTGATCTATGTATTGCATAATGTAATTTACATTTTATAAAACATTTATTAGTTTAATATTTTTTAATTATGATTTTAGTTAGTTGTTTTCACAAAAGCTTTTTGTTTTAGTTCGGTTATTTTGAAGAGTTACTCACCCTTGAGTAGCTCTTATTAAAAATAGAGGTGTGGTCACAAAGCGTGGATGTAGCGCGGTGGGTTAGGCCGGCTATAGAGCATGCTCAGGACGTCCTTCCTGGTGGGTTAGGCCAGGAGTGGGAGTATGATTTCATGCGGTTTTTATGAGGGGTCCTGTTATGTGACAACGTTTTATGTTGGGTTTGTTGTGGTTTTTCTTATGTCTTGTTGGTTATGTCCTTTTTCCAAAAATCAAATTGTTTGTGGTATGGGTTTGTCTTTCGACTTTTTTGTGTTTTATTATTTCTTTCTTAGACTTTATAATAGTCTTCAAAAGAATAAATTATCCAGTTTTAAACTGGGTTAATCCGGTTTGGGTACCGTTGGTTTCCTTTTCTTAGTCATGCTGTTATTCTATGATTTGTGGTATTTAGTAAGCTGCGTTGGTTAGTTTTGTTTAGTATGTGATTCCAACCGGGTTAAAGGAAAGTTTGAAACATGTTATTATATGTTAGAGTTGTTGAGTGTGAAAACTTGAAACTGAAATTCATTATTTTAAACAATTCTTCGTGGGCGAGCTGTGCGAGTGTGGATAGAATTTCTGTGCGAATAAATGAGAATATCAAAAGGTTAGTACTGCATTTGCATTTTATTAATTTACTGCATAGAATTTGGAAATTTACTGCTAGTTATGGGGGAATTTTAAGTTACAAATTTTCATCATAATTAGATTTACTGCTTGTGGGGAAAATTTTAGAAATGAATTTACTGCATTGGTATTAAATTTATAAATTTATAAGTGTAAGAGATTAATAGAATTTTTGAAATCTGTTTGATGAAATTTGCGATTTTTATTTGTCTTTTGTGGTTTTTGTAGGTGATTGTCGGATGAAGGCTAAAAATCTAAAGAAAACATGGATAAATTATGGTGAGTTTTTTAATATTTTAATTAGTTAGTAATATTCATTTAATTCATACTTACCTGTTAGTCGTCGGGAAAAAAACCGTCGGGGAAGATGTCGTGAATTAGTTCTGAAGTTGTTAGTAGTTTAGCTAAGATGCGGATGATATTTTTAGTCTGAAGCAGTGGCCAAAGCAATTGAAGTGCCTTAATAGTGGTTAGTTCTTCAGTGCCAACTGCAAACTCATAAGGTGTGTTTTGGATTAGATTATATAATTTGTGATTGAATTTAGTGTTGTGGATGAATTCTAAAATTGGGATTTCTATAGGTTGTACAAACTCGTGCGGGATAAGGAAGGGTCGGGATTCTTCGGCGTTGAAGGTCTTGGTGATGGGACAGAAGATGTACATTTGGGTTATGGGGTCATAATTGCGAAGAATACCATGAAGGTTAGTATCTTTAATGCAATATGTGAAATTTAGGAAAAATGGTGAAGTGTATTTGGAATTAATGAATTGAAAGCGATGGTGTGGCTGTCTAGAGGGTGTGTGTAGGTCAAAGTGATTTTGGATGAAGCGATAATAACTATATGTGTGGGTTTGTTTAGTGCGTAACATAATATCGTGTGAGCAGTGTAAATCTCTTTCGTGTGGTGCAAGGAAATGAAAGGTTAGTGAAAATATTTGTAAGCGTTCTTTAAAACTTTCGTATGCTTGTGTGTCTGTTAGTGCTTCTGAAATAATGTGATCAAACTTTCGGTCGAAGATGTTTAGTGTAAATATATATGGTGTGTTGATGAAAAATTTTTCGGTAATTTGTGGATTAGCGAAGCGATCGTCGTCTAAGAATTGATCTTGGTTAGCTCTGATGATGTTGTGATCATAGTATTCGAGTGTATATTCGTTAGCTCTAGGTGCAGTGTGTGTTTTTAGTGATTTTTTATATCCAACGTAAGTAAATTGTCTAGCGGTTAGTGGTGTAGTGAGTCGATATAGCATGTCCGTATTTCGCTCTATATCGATGTGAGTGTTAGATAAAGGTAAGCAAAGAGGGTTAGTAAAATGATAATATGAGGTCCAAGAGAGAGTGGGCATTAAAACGTATTCATCTACAAAGTTGCGTGTTTCGTTAGTGTCGTGGGGGGTGTTTAAGGTGTATTGTGGGAATGAGGGTAAGGTGATGGCTAAAAATTCTTTTGTGTTAGTATGCTTGGGGTGGTTGATGTATTCACGGGCTGTTCCTGGTTTTGCTGGGAAAGGATGGTTGGGGAACTTTCTTTTAAAAGTGCGGTAAGCTCTATTAGTGTTGAGTGAAGATTCAGTTGATGTGGATGATGGTGCTAATGATTCAGTATAATTTGAAGAGGGTGTAGGGGTAGGGGGGTTGGATGAATTTATTGTGGAGGAGATTTGGTTTATGGTTGGGGTATTAAGGTGGTAGGGTTGTTGTTGAAGGGTAATAAAATTATCTAGCTCTGGGGAGATTCGGGGGGTGTCTGGAGAATGAGATGATTGGTCAGAATGGTATGAGGAGTAGGTTGGGGTAACTTGGGAAGCATAAGAGGGTGTGGGAGTGATTGGGTCAGGGTTATTGGATAATATGGGTTGAAAAGGGGGTTGAGAAAAATTAGAAGAGTTATTAAAAATATTGGATGGGGATGGTTCTGAGTCGGCAAATTCATCGGGGGTTTCAATATTCGGGTTATTGAGTTGTGAGATGGAATATAAAACTGAGATGTGTGAATTAGTGTCGGAATTCATGCCTGATGTTACATTACTAGATGGAAAATCGGGTGGCGGAAAAGCAAAAAGTGGTATTATTGGGATTGGAGAGGTAAGATTGGTTGGGTGGGAATTTGATCGGTGTAGTGATCCAAGTTGGCGGCTCATCGTGGGCTAAAAAAATGATTATTTTGAGACTGAAAAGCGGTGGTATGGGGTTGTTCAATAATTTGTTCATAAGTATTATCATCTTGTGACTGGTGTGTCATTATATGTTGAATGGGACTTTGTGATGTGGTGAGTCGAAAATTTGGATTATGTGTGATGGCTAAATTTCGAAAATTTCGTGGGACTAGGGATAGTGGATGGTTATTTGGTAGGGGTGGTAATTGTGGTGCCGTTGGCGTTATGTCTACATTGTTTTGTTCTTCGTCGTATGTATTTTGTCGTGTTGCTATTTTTGTGTTACATTCTTTTATTTGTGCGTCTAAAAGAATTTTGTTTATAGATGTAGAAAAGATTCCAAAAAATCCTGCATAAAGTATGCGTGCTACGCTTGCTTGTCTGTTTACTTGTGTGTGTATAGCACATGTGTTGTAGATTCCTTTTAAAAGTGAGAAAAGAAATCCAATAAAGTTAAACATTGCGTATAAAATAGTCAATTTTTCTAAGATGTAGTAGGGCCATCCTAGAAAATCGAGGATCTCATTTTTGAGTGTAACAAAGCTAAAAATGTTAATTGGTGATATATCTTGGGGACGGTATTTTTCACCGTTTAGATATATATAATCTTTAATGTCTTTAAAATATCCGCTATAGTCTTGCGTGTAGATATCGGCAAATCCTGCGGTTTCTGCAAGTTTGCGTAAATTTTGGTCTATTGATTGTCTTTGTATAGTGTCCATTTGTGTTAATAATTCTTGGAATTGTTGTGTTCTAATGTGATGTTGAATATCTGATTTTGAATAGATTCCTATTGATTGTAAGTCTATATTTGGGTTTCGAGCAATAGCGCGAATGCTTTCTGGTGAAAATTTTTTGAGTGATTGCATTAATGTGGGATATGGAGTGAGAAGATAATATTTATTTTCATCAGGGTTTAGTTGTACTACATTGTGGCTGTTTTCTGATCCACATGGGACTGCGGTATCCCAGAAATAGGTTCTTCGTGAAAGTGTATCCACGAAATGTACTTTATTCTTATAAAAGATAGGGATTCTTTTATAACATCGTTTATCTTCAAAAACGTATAGTGGTGATACTTTTTTAGTACAAGTATAAAACCATAAGATGTTTCCTTCATAGTCTAAAAAATTTGATCTATTTCCAGATAATAAGTATCC